GATATTTTCTCTAATTCTCCAAGGCAGATATTTTAAAAGAAGAAAAGAAATCAAAGCGTTTTTTGAAGTTTCACTAAAAATAAATTGAAGAGTCTTGGGATTTGAAGGACAAGGATGGGGAACATTCATGTAACTTAGCAACAAAATAAATACAATAGTTCTCCAAAGTTTAAAAAATAAAGCTTCAGCCAAGAGTAAAATTTTATATAGAGACAAACAGGCACAGTCTTTCTTATAAAAGTAAAAATGGTTCTGCTGTGTCATCAAAAGAGTCATACTTTTCTTTTCTTTTTCTTTCTTTTTTTTTTTTTTGAGGCTGCTGGAATATCTCTCACAAGAGAGAGGTTTCCTGAATGAGTCTGTCGTTGAACCCAGTGGAGGGCAAGGAGAGCCATCTGGCTGCAGTTTATCTTTTCCCCTAATGGAAAACTTACTCGTTAATGTACAGGGAAATGACTCTGATGCTCCTGGCACATAAAGAAACAGACTCTAGAATTTACTCTGCCAATAGGACTTTTAGCAGATGTTCCTTCATTTGTTAAGTTGACAGCCTGTTTGCTTACACCGCCTCGTGCTGCTGATGTTTTCGCAGTGAATTTCGGGAGTTTGAGAATGGCTCCATCTGTGTCGAGTGTGACCCCCAGTGTGAGAAAATGGAAGACGGCGTCCTCACATGCCATGGTCCGGTAAGCCTGAAGACATCGGTGCTTGTGTTGGCTTATTCACTTTCAGGTGTGGATGTTCGTTGTGGCATTGCCTTGTCATTTGTCCATCCAGTCAGTAGGTATTTACAGCATGTTATAGGTAATCACATTTGACCTTCTCCCCTCAAGAGGCTATAGCTTAGCAGTAGAGATAAAATACTTAAAACTTCAGTTTCTTAAATATTTATGTCCCACTTCATGCATCTAAAAAGAAGATATGGAATTGTCCTTGTAGAACTGCACTGAATTGAAAAGAGAGATACACAAATAATTAAATTGAAGCAAAATAATTGATAAAATATAAATATGTATGAGTTGTTGTAAGAACACAAATAAGAGAGAAACTAAAACTTTAAGATGGAAATTGCGGCACCAAGAGAGGCCAGAGAAAGGTGATGTTTGAGCTCTGCTTTGAAGAAGAACCTGGAATGAAGAAACGTACAAAGACAAATAAATGTGAAACTTTATGTTGTGTCTGAGGTGTCTGTAGCACATTCATACCTGTGTTTGATCATTTAACTATGACGCACTTGTGAAGGACAACTGAAAAAAGGAGGAAGACAAGCTTTCAGAAACTAAAATCTAAAGCTGTTTGATAAATACTATGGCAGAGGGAAAAAACGAGCTGTGAAAATTGAAGGAGGGGCTATGGATCAGGGAAGTCTTTATGAATAAGTTGACATTTATATGGTTTGAATTTAGCCTTGTGGAGAAAATGGTAATTGTTTTTTAGACCTTCCTTTTGTTTCCATCATTCAGGCTTTTTCTGAGTAGTGAGGTCAGAATGAGTTTGTCATTCCAAAGTGTCATATTCATCCTTTAGACAAATTTCCAGTTTATTGTGTATGGGGTCATCTCTCAATAGGTAATTCAAGGACCAGCATTTGAGTGTAGCCAAGAGCTCAACATCATTCACAAGAATTCATTTGGAATTTAAATAGTATTAATTTTTCTACCAAAGTGCTTATTCAGCAGTTAACTAGCTTAGGAAAAAAATATCACTGGGCCATCCAAACTTCCATTAGGCCCCAGTGAGCCATTCTGGAACTTCATCTAAGGAAGGGCGTGGAAATCTTGGACAGTTCAGAGGACTACTGCAAGGATGAGTAAGCTTGGAAAAACAGACCTCTGAGAGAAAGACGTGGTGTGATTTGGCCTGAAGGACCAAAGTCTAAAAGATAATTTAATATGTAATGGTCTTCAAGTAAGTATGCAAAGGGCATGTGCAGTGGTTATCTTTTTCCCCTAAGGACAGTAATGGAAAAATGCAATTCGTCTGCAGCGTGAGAAATGTGCATTCCTTAAAGAATGTCATGAAACACAGGAAAGAAAAATTCTATAATGGGTAGTTAAAATAAGTTGAGCTATCTCTATAAGACTTCTCTAAAAACTAACATATCTGGGAACCATAACTCATTGAATGAAAAAAAAAAATCTCTTTCAGAGAGACTGAGATTTTGAAAACATACAATGACAATAACCAAGAATTTGGCTATTTGCTCCGAACAAGGCAAACTGCAAGAGCAGTCTCATGCTTTTTCAGTTCCTCATGCTGCCTCCTATGGTGTAGAATCATGGGAGTAAATAACTAGCTTATTAGTTTATTTTAATTTCTATGGCTTTGCAGGCTATGTGTTCATTCCTTTGTTCCTCAAAGGAATTGAGACAATTTATAAAAATATACATTAAAAAAACCCTAAAAATTCATGTTCTTGGAATTTTCAAAATTATTTGATAACTAAGAAAGAAAAAATAGGTTTTTTATTAACACATTTTGGTTCTGTAAGGACATCGTTGCTGGGCCATATGTTTAAAATCACAACCCAGGGCTAAAATTGTGAATGCATGTGTCTAGAGATTAGAGAAGGCAGTAAGTGCAATGTAGAAAAAGTCCAGTAAAGTCGAATCACTCTCCTGTGGAAGATTAGAGCATGAAATCAAAGAAACTTACTTGTCACTTGATCTTTAAGCCTTGAAATGCTAAGGCAGGTAAGAACACGTGTCTTTTAGGTTCTGGTATCTGAAAAACTGCCAGGATTGAGCTCAAACAACAGCTCAAACTCTGCTTCCTCTAAGGGGTTGCTTGTTTTCAGCCTTTACAATGTATGTTGGGTTCTTGCCTGTTTCTGGGTCTACATGTTGTTTATCAAAACTAGAGGCAGAGTTGGTATTGTGTGCCATGTATGTATCACTTAAGATATCCAAGAGGTTCTGGAAACTTCTTCATGAGACTGACGTTGAGATGAGATAGATAGAAGAAGAAGTTATAAAGCTAGTTGAAATTACCACACCTAGTCTTATGATTTATTCTGTTGAAATCTCATTTCCTTGACCTGTCAATGTTTCCCTAATGATAATAATTGATAAATATCTATAGTTTCCAAACACTATTACATCTAAAGCATACTAGCACATTCTCCATTTAAAATACAAAGAAATTGAACCCATTATAATGATTAGAAAGTTATTCCGAAGTCAGCAAGTCAGTAAGATGCAGAGCTGGGAGCCAGCTGTAGAAGTTCTGACTCTAAACGTCACACTCTTTTCATTTCACTTTTTTTTTCCCCCCTAGGCAACAGTGTCTGTAATGTAATGAGGATAAAATGCTTTCTGGGGATAAAATCACAGTTCTATGTAAAATGGGATGGTATTATCCTATTGAAATGTGACAGACATCCGGGATAATCTTGAGATGGATAGATTTGAAATAAAGCAAGCCCCTGCTTTTATATTGTTACCTGTCTGCATTTGTTCTTTTTTTTTAATTTTTATCCTTTCTGACTCACTTTCCCTATTCCTGTATAGTCGTATCAAGAAAGATAAGGGAGAGAATGAAAGAAGAAAAGTAAAGGACATCAGACAAAGTCATAGGAGACCAAAATATAAGCCAAAAAGGCAGCTAGAGAAAGGAAGGGATATAAGAAGGGAACTGATTTTTTTGAGGGGGCTAGCTGATTTTTATAAAAGCTAAAGTAGCTGTTAAAGTCAGGTTAATAAAGCTTGTATTGCCATAAACAATAACACTCATATCGCAGTAGCTTACAGAAAAATGTTTAAACCTTTTTTCATGTAAAGTGCACTTTGGGTCTGGGGAACTTTCTAAGGCAGCCCTCCTCCCTGTGGTGGTCTGGAATTCCAGGATGCTTTGAATTTATGGCACCTCTACCTCTCCATGAGGTCCCCACATCATGGCAGTGAGGAAAGAGAAAGCTGGAGAGTTTAGAAATCAGTGTCTGAAGTCACTTCTACTTAATTTCATTGTCCAAAGCAACTCACACCTGCCCTCCCGGCGTCTGTGGGGCTGGAAATGAGAGTGAACTGGGTACTTGTGAATAGTGGCTTTGTCCCTTATGGTGGCTACCAGAGTAAGGCGCCAGTTGTCACTGAGGAGAAAAGTGAAATGTTTCTGCCAGGGTTTAACGTATCCTGTAGTTTTCTGTCTAGATTATTAAGTCAAGGGTAGCTTAAAATCAGAGAAAGGAATATTGTTGTCTCCACCTCTGTTTTTCTGTTATTGTATCTATCAGTTCATTCACCGCACCCAGGTTCTTAAAAGCTTTGGGAATATAATGATAGAAGAGCGAGCATTAGACACATATGTATTTCTTTAAATCTCTTTTTTATGGAAATGAGATAGAAAATCAGTACATTTCATTTCCTTTGAGATTTGTCAGGACATCTTTTAGTTATGTCAGGACATTTGATTTCATATCATGATAATACAATCAAATAGTTAAGAGATGCTTTAAAAAGAAGGAAGCACAAAACATTTGTTTCATTAACGTATACCTAAAGATTAAATGTGAATTTAATCTTAGTTTCATAAATTTTACATCTTCTGATTTTACCTGGACATTATTTTACATTAGAGGAATTTTATGGAAAAATAATTCCTAATTCTGACTATAACTACCTAATTTCTCACAGTAAGTTTTATTCTTGTGTGCTGCAAGAAGACATCAGCATGTCTCTTGTACAATAAGTCATGCCACTGAGCATACTTGCACAGTAAATGATTCTGTGTAATAGACAGCATTATGTGTTTAAGTATCCATGAGCAGGTGTTAACATTGGAAGCATGTGAAGTATTCTCTTCTGGTAGGAAATAAGAAGTTGCCAGTAGCATACACTTCAGGTTGAATAGGGATTAGGTTTCACAGAATAATTTTTATCTGTGTGTGTGTGTATATATATATATATATATATATATATATATACATGCATACAAATATATTTATGAGATTTAGAAGTACGAGATTTAGATATTTCTATATCTGTTTAGATAGATAGGTAGGTAGGTAGATATCAACATCTCACCTCAATATAGTAAGATAGACAGGTGCTTGCTGAACCTCACCAGACTCAGGATTTCCAGAAACCTCTTCCTGATTATCCCTTCTTCTTTACACTACTACTCTGTGCCTTTATCTCTAAATTTTAAAATAGTATATTTCTTGATTTCCTGATGCCTTACATCACCACTTGCCATGTCTGGCTACTGTTGGATTAACATCTGTAGTGAGAAGTAATGCCCGCCCAGAAATAGACAGGTCCCCACACTCCCTGCATAATATCCAGCTCTGTATAATATTTGCTGCTCTTGTCTCTCAGATTCACATTGTTCATAATTGTAAACCTAATAATATTAAATATTTCCTTCTATACTTATTATATCTTATTTATCTAAATTATGTTCAGGATGAACTGTCATAATTGTTGGACCATGTGAACATAAACAAACTTAGGGGAGAAGGGAGTCAAGGCAAGAGAGTCCATAGAGTGGTCAAAGATGTGATGTTCAACAAGGAGAACAAAAAGTAAATGTTGACGAGTAGTTTTAGTCATAATACTTAGTAATAAGTAAATTAAAATGGCTGAATGTGTAACTATATGGGTGTCTTTTAAGAAAATAGCATTTTTATCAAAATGTTTTTAATTTGATTTGAGAATGTATTACTTACCATTTCTTTCATGCTTGCTATCACCAGCACCAAATTCAAATCAGTTTTTCTGGTAAAATTCTTAGATGCTTAATATGAATTTAAGATTTTTACTTTTGTCATGGCACTTAAATATATTTGCATATTATTGCTTATTAAAATTTGACAAATCACACAACTATTGTACATTATAAACATAAATATACAAAGTGAATTAGTGTTATTTAGGTTTATCATGCTGATATATCATCTTCATTTTTGAGTAAGTTTCTCCATATAAATTTCTTTGGTTTGTATCTACTTTATTATTATGGAGGTTTTGATATTTGTTCATCATAATGTGGCTTTATTGTGCTCTCAGTATTGTACTATGATTTACTAAAATCCATATAATAGACATGATATGATTTTTAGCATTATCACAAGCTGATTTGAAATAGAGAGTGACTTGGAAATTAACTTTTATTTGCCTAAACTGCCTGATTCCTGATAATTCAACTATGGAAATTTTTTAAATTCATTGTTCAAATAGTCATGGTACTAGCAGGAAAGTTTACGTCTCACGTTTATATGAAATTCGTGTAATTTTTAATTCATATCATTTCCTTCTCTTCACTATTTAGTAAGAATATTCACATATTCCCAGTGATTGTGATGAAACACCCCTAGGAAATATGTGTTGTTACCAAATGTCGTTGCAATGTAATTTTGCCAGGAATAAATGACAGAAAAAAAAATACTGAAGTCCTTCTGAAAAAGTTATTGGATAATTTTGCTGATGGAAAAACTACAATAGCAGCAGCCCCATTTGTGCTTCTGAAAATGCTCTCCAGCTCTCTGGAGGAGGGCTGGCCACCGCTGTGGTCTGAGTAACTCAGCCACACGAGCACCTTCCAGAGGCAATGGCACCCATTTTTCTTTGTCCATTTTGTTTTGTTTTTCACACTTTAGGGACCTGACAACTGTACAAAGTGCTCCCATTTTAAGGATGGCCCAAACTGTGTGGAAAAATGTCCAGATGGCTTACAGGGGGCAAACAGTTTCATCTTCAAGTATGCTGATCAGGATCGGGAATGCCATCCGTGCCACCCAAACTGCACTCAAGGGTAAGCATCCGTCTTGGCCAGAGATGCAACTGTGTGTGGAGTCGCTAATCAGAAGGAACACACAAGTATCTTTATCTGTGACACAGCCTACTAAATATATCCTTATGCAAAATTCGGCTCATCTTTATATAATTTGTTGATTTTTAAAAGAAATCCTTTCTACCAGAATGTTCTGTGGAATCAGATATATAGCTTCTACAATATTTCTGTTTAACATTTCCCTATAACTATTCTATTGACACCTCCATAAAGGTAGTATCAGGTATACTTTGTATGGAGTATAGAAATTCTTCCAAATTTTACCAGAAATTAAAGATATCAAAAAAGACAAGTAATCATACTTTTGAGATCCATGATTAATAATTCTTTGATAAAGGTTTTCTGTTTCTATTTATTTGTTGTTACAACCAGCTTAAAGTGAGAATCTTTCTTTGATATATACTGCCTTCTATGACTCCTTCAGCTAAAATATAAACAGAAGCAGTGATGGTTTGAAAAAAAAAAGAACCTACTGATATGTATATTAATAAAATTACAAGTATATTCTGTGAAAGTGATTTTACTACAGGTTAACCTATAACCAATATAGGACAATTGATGAGTACACATTTTTCTATTTTTCAAAAGGATGCATTGTAAAATGAATAATAATTAGATTGCTTTTGATATTGATAATGGTTGAATAACAAAGACATATTACAGAAAGAAGAAAAGCACTAAACTAGTAAAAGAAATATCACTTCATCTAATAAATCCCAGCTATTTCTTTAAAAGACAGCAAGTCTATTTAAATAAGGACTTTTCCTTTTCTTTCCTCTAGAAAGTGAATAAATTCAGAATTGAGAGCAGTTTCGCATACTTGATCCTCACCTGTCCAAAAAAAGTCTTCTCCATTGTGAACGTCCATCACATGTGCACACACACGTACAAACACACACACTTGTTGCTGAAGATCGCCTTGGGTACTTTCGATCCTGCAGGGAAGAATGAGATTCCATAAAGAGATTTTCTGCCAGATTAAGAGCTAGCTGTTAGGGCATACTGAAGAAGTTAAGCAAGCAACATCATTTTCTACCAAGAGGACATAATTTGCAGATGCTGCTACAATTTCCTGCAGGTCAAGGGATCAGCTTAAGTCACTCTGTGAAGTGGCAGATCCTCCAAAGTTAAAGTAATATTCTGCCGTGCAAATTCAAGTTCAGCTTGGAAGAGCTAATGCCACCTCATTGGTTGACACAGGGCACATAGTTTGAGGATACTGAAATAGTCACATAGACACTTTGCTTCAAGGAAACTAGAAAGGATAAACAGCTTCCCTGGCGAGTTTTGGGCACACTTAGGTTAAGAGTATTTCATGAAGATCCTGGTACCACTGGAGCAGAGGGGGAGTCAGCAATAGAAAGAGAAAACTTTGCTAGAATAATCATCCGCAAGAGGGTTTTATTGTTTTGCAGCTAAAATTAAACCAGTAAATTATTCAATATAATGTTGATGTCAACAGCTGTTGCCGTTCAAAATGGGACCTTTTGCTGTTTTTGCAAATCTAATTACAACAAAGCCATTAGGGAAATGAAAGTGAGATCACAGAGCCACAGTCTGGGTGTGTGGCTGGTGTGTCTTCCTCCCAGCTCTTTTAAATCATGATTATACAGTAAAAGAGACGATTTATAGTGAGGGAAAATAGAAGTAAATACAACGAAGAGATCAATTTACCACAGACACGAAAGTTGAATGTCAGTTAAGAGGGAGGATGAAGCCGTAATAGGAAACACATCTGACCAGATCGTTTGGGAACCCTAGTGAATAGGCAGCTGTCTTTACATTCACTGCTGCAGAATGATGGTGAGACAGAATTTTAATATTGAGCTCCCTGGCATTTTCCAAGGTAAATGGATTCTGTAATGGCTGACTTAGTCCTGACAGATTGTCTTTGTTCTCATAACTTCCTGTCATCCTTTTTCTAATAGTCTCCCTATCATACAGGTTCGCTCATTTCATAAGAGTTCTGTGATCTCAGCCCCAGAACAGAATTTAGGAATTTGGAATTTCTCATTTCCTAAGTCTTCCTTTTTCACTAGTGTGGTGCAGCGATGTGCTCTGAGATCCTGTTAATGAAGCAGTGAGGTGTTCTGTGCAGCCAGTTCCTTCTTTCAAGCTGAGCATGTAGAGAGAGACTCTTTCCCTAGAAAGATCACAGGGGCAGTAAAGATGATGGGACAAGTGACTGTTTTTATTCCTAAGCACGGTGACCTATCAGTAAGAGCTCACCATGCCAACTCTACTTTGGAAAACAGCTTTTCTTTTATATGCCAGTATTATGTCAGCTAGATGATTCAAGAACCAGGTTAATGGAAATAGTCTTTCAAAATCACATTTTTCAGAAGGAAAGTTCTTACTCTGAATGCTATTTAATGATTTTCTGAAAATAAAATTATCTGCGTAATACCTTAAAAGCACTTTTACTATCTAAAAGTACATTAAATGTTCTGGCTCTAACAAGTTCTTCAGATATTTTTAAAATAGGTGATCCATTTAGCACCTATGAGGAGATTCTCACTAATATTCCTAGAGGAAAAAAATAATAATAACATTATCTCTTCTTGCCTTGGCTAGAGGACTTTTAGTTTAGTAGCCTTTCTCATTTCATTCATTCTTCAACTTTGGTATATTGAACCCCTATGGTGTATCAAATATAGTGATAGCCACAATACACATCTGTTTATGCATCTGTCTCCTTCATAAAATTGTGAGCTCATTAATAGGAAAAGTGTCTAATTCATCTATTTTCTCCCCTCAGCTCCTAGAAAAATAGGAACATTGAGTAGGCATGCGACCCAGAATTTTGTTTTTAATGGATGAATGGAGGTCTTTCATTATTCACACTTTCCCCTCAAGTTGAACTGTACTTTCAAATATTTTTATCATTCAGGTTATAATAAAGACACAGATTACAAACTAACCATAGCTTTCAGATTATCACTTGGAAATAAAAAGTAGACAGTCAGTTTTACAATACAGTTGTACTGTATTTTTAAAAAGCATTTTGAAGACTATGTAATAGGAAGCTAGAAAAAAAAAAGTTCCTTAGAATAGGATAAAAGAAAACTATATAAGACATTTTGGAAACTTTTATAGTGATTAATTTTTTTATTTTTAGAAATGGCTTTGATTATGGATTCTGGAACCAATTCCATGCTATATGCTTTGTATTTTTAATTTTTATTTCTTATTTGCTTTTTCTGAAAGATTTTTTTACAATATATTTCACATATTTCTGTGCATTAAAATTTTTCTGGGTCACTCAAAGCCAATCCTCAAAAGAAAAATAATTTTTTACCTAGTAGGAATGTTACAACAGACATTGATGAAATGGGGAAATAGTGACTTAATTATTATTATACATAGTTGTATTAGTTTATGAATGTTAGATATTTTTAAAGGAAAAATGGGTGATCTGGCCTTATACATGAGAACCTTATTCCTTCATTACATAGTGATTTTAACTTCAGCTATTTTTTCAGTTTTACAAATTAGAATTTGGAAAAAAATATCACCAGCAGAATTAGATAGGTCTATAATCATAGCTGTACAAGGAATCTTCTTGACAATGCAGCAGAGCTATATGTCTTTAATGAGAGAAAAGGGAATGAAATGCATTTCAAGTTTGTTGGAAGATGGAAGAAATAATATTTCTATAATCAAAATCAGGATTCTGTGTAGTTAAATAATTTCACTTAAATGTTCATTTCAGTGGATTCTTCAGTTACATGGGTCTTGATGTATTCATTTCCTTGAGGAGTATTTATTTGTTATTGTTTGAGTTAAATATTATGGCAGTTTAAAAACCTGTTTGTATTTGCCTGTTATGGCACTGCTCTTTTAAAAGCAAGTGTCAAGATAAGCTACAGTATGGTAAAACCAGTTAATTTGCTTTTTAAATGAATTCGTGTCTAAAGATAAGTATGTTTTAAGGACAGTCACAACCAAGGAAGGAAATAATGTGATTATGTAAAGTATCCATGAGAATAGCATTAAAGCATGTTAACTCATTTTCTGCTAAAATCAATCTTTAATGAGTATTAAGCATCAGGTTATTATATTATATTGAATAGCTCATATTTCCTTTTTGATTGATTTTGTTTTTTACTTAAACCTAAACCCTTTTAGAAGAAATCATATACATGAAGCCAATTATAGCCATTAAAATATCACATTATTCATCAAGACCTATTAATCATGAATGATGCAAATGAATTTAAAGTATTATAAGTGAGCAGTATGTGTTTGGAATTTCTTCTATGGAAATTTCTGTTTCCACAGAAACAGAGTACAATTTTCTTTACTGTGGATGTTTCTTTTCATTTCACTTGTGTGGTGCTTGCAGTTCATTTCTGGGTATCTATCAAGTCATAATCTTCTCACTAGCTTTACATTGATGATGTTCTGAAGTTGTTCCATAGCTATCATTAAGAATTTGGCACAATCAGTACCTGTTTTACTGAGTCTTTTTTTAAATGACTAATTTTTTCCCCTTGTATTTTTAAAATCTGGATCTTCTGCAGGTGCATAGGCTCAAGTATTGAAGACTGCATCGGCCTGATGGATAGGTACTTGGTGTGCTTTCTTCCCATGTCCTTCCACCGCGGCTCCATGTGTGAGCACTGGTGCATGTGTGTGCATGTCACTCTGAATGGAGAATGATGTTTTCTGTTCTGTAATTGCCTGCAGGTGTAGCGGTCCCACTAGTCATGACTGCATTTACTACCTTTGGACGGGCCATTCCACTTTACCACAACATGCTAGGTAACATCTACCATGTTTCCATTTTGTCACTCAAATCCTTTCCCAATTATCATGGATCAAAAGTACTAACCAGTTGGGTGAAATTTATAACAGGTTAAATCAGAGAGTTATGAAAGAAGCATATGACACTTTACTTTTCAAACCATAGTTCCTTCCTCTTCTTCCTTTATTCATTACGATTTTAGAATCCAAATTAGTAATATAATTGATTTTTAATTTTGTACAATTTAAACAGAATTTTAAATTATTAATCTAGAACTTTAATAGAATCTTTTTGTTCTTAAGTGTGTAGATGAATGCAAAAAGAAATATTTTTAAGAGAATAATTTGCAAAAGTTGATCTATTTTTGTAAGGTGTTTGTTATTTGATTCAGTTTCTGATTTTACATTATTTTGAGCTGGTTGGTATCATCTCTAGGCATCAGAACTATTATAGACTAAAGGCAATGTAGAAAATATTTTGTACAGATAGAAGTATCAGTTAGAAGTATAAAACAAAATATTTCACTCATGTTTATACAGAAATCTATACATGAATGTTTGTAGTGGCTTTAAAAATCATCAGCACCTGGAAATTACTCAAATGTCTTTTAATTGTGGTATATCCATACATTGTAACATTACTCAGCAATAGAAAAGAACAAACTGCTGACATACACAAAACATGGATGGATCTCGAAAGCATTAAGCCAAATGAAAGAAGCTAGACTTAAGAGAATGCATACTGTAGGATTCCATTTATATAATATTCTGGAAAAGGCAGAACTAGGAAGACAGAAAGGCAATCAGTGTTGCCAGAAACTGGGGAATGGGGGATGAGGTTGACTACAAAAGGCATGAGGGAATTTGGGGGAGATGTTGGGACTGTTCTACATCTTGATACATACTGGTGATGGCTGCACAAATGTATAGGCTTATCAAAAATGGTAGTTCAGTACCTTAAAAAGAATGGACTTTATATATGTATATAAATTATACCTCCATAAATTTGACTTTTAAAACATATCAGATTTAGGAAAATAGTAACTTTACAATGTTATCTAGAAATAGTGTTAGCTTTCTTTATGAAACAAATTGTCACTTTAAGAAGGGAGAAAGTAATGCTAAATTACAATTAGCAGAGTAACCATTTTGGATAAAGCGTTGCCTTCTAATGTAAACTTTTGATTGAAATATAACATATATAGGGTAAAAGTATACAAAACATAAGTGTAAAAGATCAATGAGTTTCTCCTGATGAAATATTTGTGTAATCATCAGCTGAATCAAGGAACAGAATAGTATTAGAACCAGAAATTGCTTCCTGTGCCCTATTCTGAGGTTAACCACTGCCCTGAGTGCTGACCACATAAGTCAATTGGTCTGTTTTTGCACTTTATATAAATTGAATCATACACTATGTACTCTTTACCTCTGGCTTCTTTTGCTAAATATTATGTTTATAGGATTCATCTATGTCATTTAAGTTAGTTGTACTTTTTTTCATGTATATAGTATTTTGCCTTTAGATGATTTTAAAATCATCAAATGAGTGATATGTCTTATTAGTAAATTATTTTTAATGAAGTAAACAGAGAAATTAAATTCTAAAAATAAGGATATGGTAGAGTTAAGCGATTTATGCAACAGTGGCACTTTGGCATTTGGGCACAGTTAAGACCAGTTAGTACAGCTGTGTAGAGCAAGGCCTAATTATGGGGAACAGAAAAATCAATGAGGGAACAAGAGAGAGAGAGAGAGCACCTAAGGACCAAACCAGTTTATAAGCCAGTGTCCAGTGCAGACTGTTCCTGTATGCATGGAATTATTTTTCCCCCTGAGACTTTGGTCGAGTCACCGCACTGTCACTCTGAAGTGTGTTTTCACTTTTGCTTTGATGATTTTCTTATAATCACTGCAGCCAATTAACAAGAGGCAATGTAGTATGGTGGTTAAGTGTGCCATCTTTGGAATCAGATTTTCTGAGTTCAAAGTGAGGTTCTACCATTTCTTAGATGTGTGACCTACAGTAAGTTTCTTTAAATTACCTAAATTTCACTTCCTTTATTATAAAATAGGAATATTAATATCATTCATAAATTGACTGTGAAGATTGAATGAGTCCATTAAACAGTGCCTGGTTTAGACAAATCACTCAATAGATGTGATTATTTCTCTAGATGCCAACTATGTTAAATGTTGGGGATGGAGGAACATACCCCTCCAGGAGGAGGGAAATCTCTTAGAGGTACCTGGGGAACTTTGATGTGCACTTCTGTCCCTTGGGTAGGTCCCTGGAGGGAGGGCATTTCTTTCTTCATCTTAAGAATCACTGTCATAATCAGGGCCACTGTTACCAAGGGAAGCAGGTTGTAGGCAGAGGTATCTGCAGAGACCAAGAAAGTGCTAAAAGCATGGCGATAGGTTATGTTTGTGGTTTTCAATGCTAGTAATTGAGGTTATACAACTCAAAATCAAGGCATATCTTGCTATATATTTCATATTTCCAACATTTAAACATAAGTAGTTAGGAATTTTCAATCCTTTTTCTTGCCTAGATTCCCAAGCTATTCCCTATAGTCTCAAACTAATACACCTAATTCAAATTAGCTTTGTCATAAATAGGTGACCATGCCCAGCAGCAGCATATGGGAAATACAGTTCAGCCCATAACTCCTATTAAGCTGTAGGCCTTTATGCAGATGAAGAGCAGAGGTTCTTGAATGTGAAAGCCTGGCTTCAAGTATTGACTTTACAATATTTTTTTCAATCTGTAAAATGAGGACAATAATGGTCATGTTTAACATGGGAATTCTTATACCTCACAAAACTGGTGTGAGGATTAAATGAGATAATGCAAAGGAGCCGTTACCTAGTATGTATTCACTAGTGGTAGTGATGGCTTTAGTTGAAACATTGTCAAAGTAATCTTTTACAAAATCTCATGAGGTGATGTTCTGTTAGTATTTTATATATCAGTAGGGCATTAATCCAGTAGTCCAATGACTATGCAATTGACACATAAAAATTTTTCAGGTTTTAGGTAGTTAAATTTCAAATCACACTTCTAAATATAATACTTTTAAAGAATTAGCAGTAGGCAGCTAATTATTCCTTTTAGAAAACTCTGGATATCCTTAATTAATACCTGTTTTGTACTTAAAATTTTAATCAGTGTGACTCTATTCTTCAATTGTATTGACTTGATATAATTAATTGACTTGTCAGAGCCTGTATATAAGGCAGTTTGAAATTTGCATGAAAAATTTAACTTGAACACTTTGGAAAAGAATTTATGACCCATGGGACATTTTGACATAGACTGGATAAGAGGTAAAAGTAACAAGTACCTACTTTTTCAGATCTTTAATACTGCAGTAAATGCTTACCTCTCTGAAACAGGGTGGGTCTATATTTAATTGAAAGCAGGGGACTAGTCTAATAATATTTCAGGCAATTTTCCATTTTTAAATTCCAAGATACTTCTTTAAGCTTCTGTCTTGATTGGTTAAAGTAAATCTCAACAAAACATGATAGAAAATAATTGTTCTAAGTTTTGTAAACCATGTTTTAACTGGGAGATTATCCAAAAGCCTCATTTTCTTTTAGTCACAGAAAATCACATTGAGCATGCCAGTGTGGCCATTTCCAGATATTTAGAGTTCATACTCCCTACTGTACCATTATGCTGTACTCTGCTTCCTAAACCAGCAGGAAAAGAGATTGAAGATTTAAATGAAAACAGGTGACATGTTTCCAATCTTGATCGACTTTCACCCTGTAAAGAGCGTCATTCTTCCCCGAGCCTACAATTTGTGAGTTGGTTTTCCACACGCCATTTACCTCACAGGCTGCTACTAGAATTTCTTCCAGGAAGACTGGGCAGGACAGAATAGAATTTTTTTTCATCTGTGGTCTCCTGGAATATGCTGATATAATGAAAGTAATGCTTGGTGTTTTGAAACTTCTCCATACTTCCTTTATCTGAAACAAATTCCTTAAATAGAGCATTTACCTTTTATGTTCTTCCGTTTGCATCAAGAATCTTATGAAGAATTATGCTCAGAAAGGTTTTTTTTTATTATTATTCTTTTTTGTATGCTATTTACTTTAGCTTGCATATATGCTGTTTTCAAATAGGTTCTGACAGAACAGTGTATTAGATTCTATTCTGTTTAGTTTCCTTGTCAAATAAATATCCAAAGCTTTTTTAAAATCTTAATTTCTTTCTCCATTACAGCTTAAAGTTGTTAATCTCAACAAGCAAAGATACCATTGGCAAAGCATTTTTTGGGGGGTTAGTTAGCTATCTAAAATGTAAATGTTTTTTGAATTTGTGACAGAAATTATAAAAAACTATGAGATATATATGTTCAAGCATTTCTGTCTGGCTATTTGGTCCAACTGAGTTATTCTAGGTGCTTCACAATATGAAATAAGGTGATTGAACTTAGTTTTAACTCCCTAAATCTCATATGGGCAGATACTTGAACCGTTTTATATTCCTGTCGCATTTTAATGCCTGTGTCACGCTTTTATGTTACGATATAGTGGCTATTACCTAAGAGGTCACATAACCGTTTATCCTTTAGCAGTGTGACCCATGTGTGATCTATGAGAGAGATAATGTGGTGTTCTTGGCACCACTTTCACAAAAGGCACAATCTTTTTTCTTTGTTTGTTTTGCCCCCAAGGAACTTAGTTTGTAACTTACGTCCAAATCAAATGGTCAAAATCGCCTGTAGATAGTTACTTTAGTTGAGTGGCAGTTGGGTTAGTATCCCTAAGTCCAATAAATAAAAGTACACAGGCTTTTTATTATAAGTCTATCCTCAGTCCACCATGTTCTGTATATTAGATTTACTTTTGAATTATAGAGAGTTTGAAGAGGTGAAGGAGAGTATGTGAGTTTCTTCTTTTCCAGATGATTTGTGTCCCCCACTTCCCAGTACTCATAAAATACCAAAATTATCAAAGAATTATAAGGCAAGAGTGAAAAATCTCAGATCAGTTTTTGATAA